TCAGTTCATATAACGCAGACTAGTTTCTGTATTGTTTGTATTCCTGTTACATTTTTACAATTTAGCTACATATTACTTCCCACTACACTGTTTTAGGGGAACATAGATCGACTGAATTTTAATATAAGACTCTGCACAGAAGTTCAGCAGCTCATGTCACCACACTCCTTGTAGTGCACAAGGAGGACAAAAGAGAAAGAGAGTAAAGGGATTGAGAAATACCAATAATAAACAACCATTTTGAAGTATTGGTTTTGTAGGGACTTCTTTGTGTCTGATTGATTAGAGGGTTTCATCATGAGTTGACATCAGTTAGAGAACCATTGGAAAACCTGCAGGTAGTAATGGATAGCTGTTTCATCCGCGTAGTTTGAGACTCTTCAGCAATACGCAGCCACCACCAGAGTTCGAACCCAGGACTTTCTGGTTACAAGGTGAGCGAGCTCATAGACCAATTAGCCACTGGGACCCGATCCAGCCAGCCAGCTAGCCCATGAATTCTAACTTCTACCAATTCATGACATAGCTGAACCATTTTGCAATGTCTTCTTCGATGATTTACTGCCTCACTTTCAAAAATAAACAGAAATGTAAGAGAGAAAGAACAGTAACGTGGAAAAGCATGGCTTATGTGAGATCACAAAGGGTGAATGCATCTTCGCCACTGGAAACGATTTTCAGTTATATCACCGATAGTCTTCTGTCATTGGTTCTTGGCATCCTGGGAACCCCGCAATCAAGAAGTTCCCTATGTGTCTAAAGCTAACTGTCAAAGATTCCGTGGACCGATAACAGGTTTTGGTTTGTTCACCACTTGTACTTTTCCAAATTGATTCTCTGTTCGTTGAAACTGCTTATTGAAGTAGTAGGAGATGGCTAGGCATGCTTAACACATGTTCTAGCCATTTCAATCGATTCACCTTCATCTACTTGCCTTCCTTACCTAATGCTGCTCTGAATCTGAGTACTGCTCATCCTATTATACCACTTAACAGGTGAAACTGAACACAGACATCTGTGGTCAAAGACAGCTAGTCTCTTTATACCGTCCACTTACAATGGCCATATCTTACAGTCATAAAGGAGGATATAGCGAACTGCTGCTCAGTACATACATCCTTCGGTCGATAGTTGAATATCATGTAAGCTGACAGATGCTACACAAGCCTTTTGTATCCATGCTCAGATTTTATCCTTGGAGGCTAATACACTACTTCTTAAATAAGTGAATTGGTCAACAAGCTCTAGATGTCGGTGCAGTCCACCCCCGTAGCATCATTTCACATTTGACAGATGGTAGAGAATACACGCGAGACTGTGTAATTACGCTTTCATACCTCATAAGCAACGCTTTCTACCTGTTATCCACAGAAATACGTATTTTAACAGAATTATGTGTAGTTTAATAATTAATTAAGAAGTTTAACAAGTTATTTAATTGGTAAAAAGTTGTTTTACTTCGCATGATAGTCTTATTGTTGTTGCCTTGTGTCAGCTGATATAGTATTATATTATATTAAATTATTTAGCATTCTGTGACTATTCGCTTTCAAATATTTTGCTTATGATTCTGACATAAAGTCAAAATTAAACAAATGAGATTGATTATTTGTCTAGGGTAGACAGATATCTTGTGATGCTTAGTATTACAGTAAAAGTACACTACGCACACACACAGCTGAGTAATTTGAATAAAGCAAAAGAAAAGCAACGGTATATGCAGATTAACTTGATGTCATCATTTATTTCGTCAGCTTCTCTTCAGCTGCGTACAGCCTACAGAAATTACTAAGTTTATATATAAAGAAGCTCGCCTTGCAAACAGGTCCTGGGTTCAAACTCTGGCGGATGCGTACTGCTGAAGAGTCCCAAACTAGGCAGACGAAACAGCTGTCCAGTACTCACTGCAGGTTTTCCAGTGGTTCTCTAACTGATGTCAGCTCATGATGAAACCCTCTAACCAATTAGACAAAAAAGAATCGCTACAAATACCAATGCTTGAAAATTTTAATAAACTTGCAAATAAGATAGACATGAGACAAGTTGACAGGAGACTTCAAACTTAATAAACAGTGCTCAGAAATCACACTTATATAATCTGTGATACAAAAAAACAATAAAAGCTTGGGACAATGGCAAAGGAGTTAGTTGCATAGCGAAGACAAGAGTTGAATAAAATGATGAGCAACTAACAAGTTGAGTAAGAGTGTGATGAGTTCAACTCAAATCATAGAAACAAAAACCAAGTAAATGATATAAGAATAAAACACTTGAGTACTGTGGCGGTAGAGTATAATTCCATTATGGGTAAACATTTATTTTGATAAAGTCTCATAGTGTCATACAGTAATATTTACTGATGACCATGTTTTGAGCTTAGATTACTTTTTAGAATTATAACCCTTTCCCATCCTATTGTGTGGTTGTGTTTTTGATGTGGTTGTGTTCTCTGAGCTGGATGGTTAATTTGCGAAGCTTCCATCACCCTACTGGATGACATCTTCAGCGCATACTTCAATTTGAAGTGAGCTTTTAGATTTCTCCACGAGTTTATTAATCATCTCTCCTGCAGCACTCCCACCTTAAGGAAAATTGAAGAAAAGTATCTCATGGACGTCTTCCAAAAGAATGGATATCCACGGAATTTCATCAAGAGACATATACCCGCAAGCCAACCTATCAAACCAAAAGCCACCAAGGAAAGCACAAAGAAAATCGCCTTACCCTATATAAAGGATATCTCAGAAATCACTACAAGACTCTTCAAACCTTTAGGAATTGACGTCGTACACAAACCAACAAAGTCACTTCACTCAGCTGGTTCCATGTCAACCAAAAGACTCAACAGCGAAAGAAGATTAAACCAATATCATCTACAAAATAAATTGTAACAAGTGCGGAAAACACTACATTGGCCAAAGTGGACGTCCCCTTCGTCTTCGTATCCACGAACATAAGCTAACCGTCAAAAGACATGATATTCACTCCCTCATATCGCCACACACAGACAACTACGGACATCAATTCGACTGGGACAACGTTCAAATATTAGACAGAGGAAACAACAAGAATGCTAGAGAATTTTTAGAAGCCTACCTGGCATTCCAGTGAATCATCAATCAATAGAGACATCGAGATAGACAAAATTTATCAACCGATAAGAAAGAAACCTCACACACAAAGGGTCAAAGTTCGAGTCAAAGAAACAATCAGTTCCAATACAAGTAACCTAGAAGGTATGAAAACACACAACAACAACCAATCACATCCAAGGAGAGATGATTAATAAACTTGGGGAGAAATCTAAAAGCTCACTTCAAATTAAAGTATGCGCTGAAGATGTCACCCAGTAGGGTGATGGAAGCTTCGCAAATTAACCATCCAGCTCAGAGAACACAACCACATCAAAATCATCCACCTGAGCTACAAATCTTCTCTATCATGTCTGGTTGTGTGTTAATGCATGCAATGCAATGTAGTGCTGAGTTTTTTCTAAATTCCTTATTTTCTCAGGGTCAACCATTCTTACCTTAGCCACTAAACTCTTATGTTCCGAAAATCTGACTACCCTCACCCGACCTACTAGTTTAGCCTATGTAGTTGACCTCACTCACAGTCATTGCAGGGTATTTTGTAAATTATATTATTTTGTCTAATTGGGTCAACTGACAGGGTCCTTTAACCCGAGCTTGTCTCCGAGTGAGTTTGTAGGTTTAAATGCCACTCTAATTTCTGCTTTATTTAGAATCCTACGTAGGGTCTCAGATGTCCCCTCCTTATATGCTATAATTCGAGATGCCTTATATTCTCTCTTATTTATGTTATCATTACTAGTTTCACAATTATTTTTATTTTGCTTTTGACCTTTTCTGATCTTCGTAATGCATTTTATAGGATAGTTATTAGAAGTAATATAGATAGATGGAGAGAGAGAGAGTGGTTGATTACTGAATCCTTGTTCATCGAGTCAATCAAATCAATCGATGGAAAATAATAATGGAATTATATTAGCGAAGTTTCAACATTAATATCAAATCGGTTCTTTTATATAGTTCAAGGACTTGGCGTGAGGTTCATCAAAAGTATACACGTTTATCAACAGCTGCCTTCGCTGACAGCATACTGAAGATCGGATGCTCAGCCAGAAAGGATTAGCAATAAGGAACTCTGGGGACGAACCAACCAAGAACCTACTGCGTCGGTGGCACAGTGGTTAGAATTCTCACCAACCATGCACACGGTCCGAGGTTCGATCCCCGGCCGACGCACTCCTTCAAGACTTCCTGCCGATTCCCTCCAACCATCTAATATCATCAAATCAATGTGCACCGTGATTGCGAGCTACCTAGAATGTTGGCCACATTATAAAGCTAACTGATAGAATTCAGTCTGCAGCGAAGAAAGGATTAGACACATCACACTAGTTACTAGTGTCCAATCAAAATATCCATCACTGTCCTACAGGAGGTCAATCGCGAGCTTGAATAGCTCAGTGGTAACGTCTTGGACTGCAGGTAGCACTGGGTCACGCGGGTTCGGATCGGATTGGACACACTCTAAGTGGATCGTTTAGTTGACCTCAAAAGCCACGTGTAGCCTTGAGTGGAATCCAATTAGGAAACGACAAGTTGAGAAGGAGCACGGCAGTGACGTCGAGGAGAACCAGGAGGAGATGTGAGTTTATTGACAATCGTGGAGTCGGCTAAAGAGAACTTCAGAATACAGGATAAAGTGGAAGTGCAGGAGATTCACAAGACAACCACTTCAAGGGAGAATATATTGTTCTTCTAGAGATTTCAGTATCATATTCTCATTGTGTCGAATTTCATTTCTTTAAGTAATATTTATAATCATTTTGTGTCACAGATTTTCATACATCAAAAAAATAAATAAATAAAACTAAATAATTCTTTTTGCCTTATTTTTATTCATTCACACTGTTTACTTAAACAGGTGATGTAAATGTGAATTTGTAGTTTTATTGATTTTATTTTTTTTAGAAAAACAAGATTTTTAACACGTGACGTGAAAAATTTATACTTATGAATAAATCGATGAAGAAAAAATATACACGCAAACAAACAAACAAGCAGACAAAACTACAACTGCGTCAATCTATTTTGTTATTCGCTTATACACTTTGTTATTATTATTATTGATAAGTTTTGCTTGTTATTATTATTAGTGGAAATGAGGAACAATGAAACGTATTATCAGACACTCTACCCCTCACCAGTACCTGCCACTTTAGTGTGGTGGTCAGGTTGGTGTGTCACAGTGAATCAACGAGATACACCAACTGGAATTGATGTTCCTGAAGATTCTAACACGTGAGAAAGTTCGTTTGGATAGAGGTTAGACTAAAACAGTTGCCGTCATAGTGTGTAGGTGGGGACAGGGATGTAATAGCAGTAAAGTGTTTCCCTCAGACAGCCAGCATGCCAACTATGCTGCCTATCCGCTCTGATAAAGAGGGGGGAATTAGAAAAGTTCGATTTTGAAGACTGTACATCCTGAATTACGGCGGTACGGATCCGGTGGTAGGATCTTCATACAGACACAACTCCAAAAACCAGTTGAAACAGACCGTTTGTGTTGGTTCTTAAGCGGTTGTCTCCCAGGCTCTACGGTCACACAAAACTAATGCTCTTTTTGTTTCAGGCACTCCATAAAGAAATCTAAGTCAGACACTCTACTGAGGGTAGCATAGCGGTTAGGACGCTCGCCGACCATACACATGGTCCGGGATTCGATCCTCGACCGACAAACTCCTTTACCTCACTAAGCCAGAAATAATACTGGTAAAGAGGAAAAGGTTGGGCATGAGGCTAGCAACCCCATCCTGTAGAATAAACACTGCTACAGAAACTTCCAGCCACTAGCTTGAAGCCCTATGTTCCACTGGGGAACGTGAAGGAAAGATAAAAAAAACACTACTGAGGGTGGTGATGATAATAGTCTTATTATTATTATTCCCTTAGGTTCCGTATGGAACATAAGGCTTCAACAGCACATTTCCACTTCATCCTGTTCATTGCAGTCGTCTCACAGGATCTCCTCCACGTCACTGTAGGACTCAGAAGCAACTCGTCGTTTCCAATATGGGTTCCACTTGTGGGTATACTTGGCATGCTATGTCACTTGTTGATTTTCTCAAGGTGTGTCTGCTTCATCTTCATTTCCTTCAGTACATGTGTTGGGTAATGGATTCTTGATAATATCAGAATATAATTACGAATACACAGGCATCAATGACTGATACAGGTAATACAACTCACATTCCTCATAGTTTCTCTTGTATAGAGACAACCGTCGAAATAAACATGAGTAAGTGAGTGGATCACTGGCCATTTTTTTATGCAATCAACAAAGATTTCTTCAAAAATTGATGAGAAAATGACAGGTTAAATATAGTGAAAAATATAAAACAGTGAACAAGTAGGTGAAACGAGTTGGCGTCTACTCACAGTAATGAACAATCACAATTCTTTAAGCTATCAAACCTAAAACTGTAAATTTATAAGAATTTCAGGTTACCATTTATCCACCACTTATACTGTTCAACAGCCTCCCCTGTTACAGCTGCTCTGGTAGACTACACCAGTCAAAATTTAGCATTCGAATTCTAGAAAGTGTATTCTGATGCAAATTAATGGGAGAATATTATTATTATTGTTCTCTTGGGTTCCTAGTGGAACATAGGGCTCCAACTGCACGTCTACACTTACTTCTGTCTTCTGGTGTACTTTTCACCTGCATCCATGTTAGTCCATACTCTTTCAACTCCTCTTCACACGATCTCCTCCATGTCACCCTTGCACTGAAGTCCCACTCGAGGGCCTGACGTGCGATGTCACCCAGCGGTCTCCTCAGCCACGAGTGTCCAATCCACCTCCACTTTCTCCTGCATATTCGTTGGTTGGTTAATTGGTCCTTGTTTTGTTTGTCCCCATAGTTTGGTTGGTTGTTGGTGATTCTTTCCGGCCCGAACCGACCCGCCCATCTGATCTTCAGTATAGATCCAGCGAAGACAGTTGTTGGTTGATGGAGTTCTGCAACAGGCTGTTGGAAATATTCTTTGTGACTCACCCGTCAAGTTTCTGATCCGTATAGAAGAAGTGACTGACTTGACGTTGTTTGTATTGAAAATCCGACTGAATTTTGTTGTTGATGCTGGCTGAGTGACGAAGATTTCCAGATTGGTTTCAGGTTGGTTGATGAATGTGTTTGTCGCCTTCCTGATTCTCGCTCGATTTGACATCCTCGTCCGTTCCGACTGTCTGTAGTTGAGACAATGCTCCCTAGATAAGTGAATGAAGTAACCTCTTTCCAGTTCCTCCCGTTGATGGTGATTGGCGCTGGATGTTTCTGCTGTTGTTGTTGTGGTTGGTTGGTTGGTTATTTTCATATATTCCGTCTTGTCTATATTCACCTGGAGTCCTGTCTTTGCTGCTTCTTCGACCAGCTTGTCGGTTTTCGCTTGTAAGTCTTCGATTTTGTGTGACATCAAATATAAATTATCCACGCGCGAAATCCGGGTCTTCTAGGTTCTTCACGTCGGTCCAGGATATCCCTGTCTGCTCGTTTCCCAGTGTCTGAATATTAGTTTAACTGAACTCTGATGCTACAGTATATTACCCTTAGGCAATAATGTCATTATTCGCCTATAGGCACCCTCCAATTTTATGCACTCCAAACTTCGAAATGCTTGTAATGTGTACTTCATTAGCGAACAGGTAAGAAGGGTGTAAAGAAGGAAGTGTGGAGGGGATGATAAGTGGCGGGTCATAATAGACTTAGCAATGTAATCCATAAAAACAGCATATATGCATCGATTTAGGGGAGATAATATTTAGTGATTTCTGAAACTAAGGAAGATTGAGAAGATTGTGCAGAGGTCTGGCATACACACTGGCATCAGAATTTCTACCATAACATAGCAATGACTCGCTTTATTTACTTTCAAAAATAACTGATATCATTTAAGGATAATGATGGATTAGGAGGTCGTTTAAGATATTGTTATGTACTAGTTTTCCCCGTCGCCAAATTGTTATGTACTCGTCGACAAATTATTGTTATGGACTGGTCGAGAAACTAATAGTCCTGACGTAAGAAGGCGGAAATCAGAAGACCACTAGGTTTGCGATGATACTTCTATTTTCCAAACACAAGGAGACGCGATAAGTGTGGTATCACACCAAAGTAAGTAAGTGTAAGTAAGTCACACAAATTGTGAGAACGAAATATATATATAGCAAAATAAAGCAGACATGTCAACAACCACCATATATGGATATATGTCACCAAGCAACGGACTGTCAACAAACACTCATATTATATATAATATAAGGGGAATATACATTGTTAAAGGAGACAAGTTCATACAAGTGAAATGGTCACAGACTAAGCGAGTAAACAGAAAGCGAGACCAACATATATATATATATATATATATCGGATCAACAAATATCAACAAATAATAGATGTCCAAAAAGCAAAATTAGAGAAAACCCTCAACCAAGAACACCTGTCAACGCTGATCACCGCAATTTCACTGTCAAGTGGAAAACACAGAGAACAAAGACGAAGAGTCCTCAAAACCAAGCTAGCCAAGATTAGAAAACAACAACCAGACAATACGCCCATAGACTGCGTAGTCAACCTATCAAAACAACCACTATCAAAAATGGAACAACAACTACTACAAAAAGGATTAAACTACAACACCGGAGATGCTTCAAAAACTGATTTCTTCGCTGCCCTTGAATCATTACTCAAATCATCAAACTTGAACGAGGAAACACAGGAAGAGATACGCCAAACAATTGTACCAATGGTCAAACAGAAAAGACAACACACACAACTCAACTCTCAAGAACTAAAGGCCCTCAAAAAGCTGAAAAATAGGAAGGACATCGTCATTTTACCAGCCGACAAAGGAAGAACAACAGTAGTCATGGACAGAGAAGAATACACCAAGAAAGCTGAAGAACTACTCAAAGATGAAGATGTATATCAACAACTCCCAACAAATCCCATACAAACATTGGACAACCGCATCCAAAGGACCTTAAACAAGCTCAGCAAAACTGGACAGATCACAAAACAAGACCAATGGCGAATGAAATCCAATGGACCAGTCCTACCTCGATTCTACGGCAGACCCAAAATACACAAGGCAAATATCCCGTTACGACCAATTGTATCACTCCCAGGAACTCCAACATATAATTTGTCCAAGGAATTATACAGAAAACTAAAACACCTAACGGAATCCTGTGATCACTCCATCAACTCTGCTATCCAATTCCTAGAGAAAATCAGAGACATCCAAATAGATGAACAAGAAATAATGGTATCCTTCGACGTGACAGCATTATATACCTCTATCGGACAAAAACTAGCAAAAGAAACCATGGAGCAATTACTTAGCAACGACGAACAACTTCCACAACAATCAAAAATGCAACACACAAGCTGGATGGAATGCATAAATCTATGCCTAACAACATACTTCCAATTCAACGGCCAAATATATGAACAAGTCAAAGGAACACCCATGGGATCGCCAATATCAGGTTTGATTGCAGAAGCAGTGATGCAAAGACTCGAAAACATAATTCTACCAAAGATCAAACCCAAGATTTGGATACGCTACGTCGACGACACATTTGTAATAATCAAAAGAAACGAATTAGACAAAACTCACAACTTAATAAACAACGTCTTCAACGACATCAAATTCACAAGAGAAGAGGAATCCGAGAACAAAATACCATTTTTGGACGTCTTAGTCAGGCGAACAACTACAGGAGAATTAGAAACTCAAGTTTATAGGAAATCAACTCACACAGACCAAATACTGAATTACAACAGCAACAACCCAATAGCACACAAAAGGAACTGCATACAAACACTATTCAAGAGAGCAAGGACTCACTGCAGCACTCCCACCTTAAGAAAAATTGAAGAAAAGTATCTCATGGACGTCTTCCAAAAGAATGGATATCCCGGAATTTCATCAAGAGACATATACCCCCAAGCCAACCTACCAAAACAAAAGCCACCAAGGAAAACACAAAGAAAATCGCCTTACCATATATAAAGGATATCTCAGAAATCACTAAAAGACTCTTCAAACCTTTAGGAATTGACGTCGTACACAAACCAACAAAGTCGCTGCACTCAATTCTATGTCAACCAAAAGACTCAACAGCGAAAGAAGACAAAACCAACATCATCTACAAAATAAACTGTAACAACTGTGAAAAACACTACATTGGCCAAAGTGGACGTCCCCTTCGTCTTCGTATCCACGAACATAAGCTAGCCGTCAAAAGACATGATATCCACTCCCTCATTT